GGCCGGGGGAGGCAGGCCCAGGGGCTTGCTGCCGGGCTCCAGCGTCATGTGCCGGGCTTGCGCGTGGTACGCCCGGGCGAGGTTTCGGATGGAGGCTTCCCGCGGCGGCACCACGGGGCAGGGCTCGTGGGCGTCGGGCTTGCGGAAGAAGGCCTCCGACTTGACGTAGAGCGGGAGGTTGCAGTAGTCGCCTGCAAGGGGAAGCGGAGGCTGGTGAGTGTGAGCCGAGTATTGGCTCAGTAAGTTGTCATACTCCACGCAATGCAACGCATGGGACAGGGAATAGAAAGCCTTGGCTGCTGCAGTTTGACGTGCTCTATAAAGTATTCTGTCAACCGTACGCTGTAAGAAACGCCATGTTGTACAGCACTGCGAAGACGTTCTTCGCGTTGTTTGACCCACAGCACGTCACCTGTTAGGGTTTACAGCTTTACGGTGGGTGTATGTAACACGCTGCAGACGGTAGTACGTGGTTCATTGGTGCGCGATACGTTACAGGACAGAAGGCTGGTAGATACCAGCAGAGAGACTGCCGTCTCCTGTGTCCTGTAAATATTTGTACTCTGTTTGATATAACAAAGAAAGAACACTGATATGTACTGTATACTATATTATAGCAATATATATAGGCTGTTTACATTATGTGTACTGTATACTATATTATAACATATAATGTAAACAGCCTATATATATTGCTATATGTGCTGCAATAAACAATAGCTTGGTATCATAACTGTAGTACCTTAATTTAAGGATTTATGCATATGTATACTGTTAAATACACTGTAGTGCATATATAATGTGATAACTTGCTGCTTTTAATTGTATGTATTGTCTTTAAATAACTATAGTGTTATAAACCTTTGTGGTAATATAAGACCATATAATAATGCAGTGTCTTATATCTATATTGTGTTATAATGCATATAGTATTTCTTAATGTATCTACATTATACACTATTACACTATAGTGTATCTACTAGTATGTAAGTACTATTTTTTCATAAAAATATGACATATCTAGATATATTTGTAGAAAAATTATCTTGAAATATTATATTGCATGTGTTTTTAATACAGAGAAAATCCGTTTTAAAAACACATATGTCTATTTTTCCTGCAAGTATTATATAGCATAATTGATATTATACTCACATACTTTTTATGAAAAAATACTATTACCCATGTAACTATTAGCCACAATACGTAATATATCTAGATATAATATAAATCTTGAAATATTGTTAGGATATGTGTACTGTAATGAACAGCCAGCTCGAACGCAATGCATGTGATACTACAGTGTATATTATATATCTCTGCCAGCCGGAAGAAATGCCTCTAACGGTGGTGTCGTATGGTACGGCGTTGTCTCTGTTGCTCACAGACAGGTCTCCAAGGGTTGTACTCTAGTGCAGCGTCACTTGGGGTAAATATACGTGACGATGCCGTTCAGGACCTGTCTTTCAGCGGAGGCATTACAACACGTGCCACAAAGGGCGGTGCTGTATTGTCTCTGGTGCTAGAGGGGTTGTGCTGTCACGTCTCCGTCAGCCAGGTCTCGAAGGGTTGTACCGTCATGTCATGAAGGGAAGGGGAAGGAAAGTTAGGGGAAGGGAGGGGAAGGAACGCTAGCGACTGGGAAGGAATACTAAGACACGGACAGAAAGTAATGGAGGGGAGAAAAGAAAGGTGAGCAGAGGAGAAGTGACGAGAGGTGCCAAAGCCGCGTGAAGAGGAGCAGAGAAAAGGGAAGAGAAGCAAAGTGAGGAGAAGCAATGAGAAGCGAAGAGGAGCAGACAAAAGAAAAGCAAGGCGAAGAAGGAAAGGTGAAGAGGAGCAGAGAAATGTGAGAAGCGGAGCAACGCAAAGGGAGGAGAGGAAATTGGAATCGTTAAGATTTTCCACATCGTGCGGGGATCTAGGAAAGACCCCCACAGAACCTACTCAATACGGAAAAAGATCTCCGTAGAACCTACTGCCATCAACTAGCGATGCCAACAGAAAGCCCTCCAAAACCTGCAAGTGGGAACGCGCGCAAGCAAAACAGATGAGACTGAAAGATCAGTCCCGTGGAGAGGGTGGAAGAGAGAGGGGCTTTCCCCAGCTCCTCTCCCTCGTGCCCTTCCCAGGAACTGTCTCTTGCAGTCGCTTTAGCTGTACGTGTCCTGTTCAATGTGTCGTGTGCTGCAGAGAAAAACACAACAAGAAAGACAAAGCACGCGTGTACGTACTCTTGCTGGCACGGTGCGGGATGGGTACGGCCACGCTCTTGCCCCGCTCGCTGTCCTGGGGTTTGGGCGGGGAGGCTGTGAAGCGACAGATGCCGGGCTCTGAGGGGGTGCTCATGGAGGTCATGCTGTCAGCGTTGTCGGTGGTGCCGGTGGTCATCTGGTCCGAGGAGCTGTCGGAGATGAAGCACTCTGTGATCTCAAACTTGGCGTGCTGCAGCTGCTCCTCCAGCTTGGCGTGCTCGTAGGCGCGTGCCAGCTCCTCGTAGGTGGATGAGGCGCTCTCCGTCGACACCATGCTGTTCCGCCCCTTGTCTGCGGAGGAGAGAACGCATCACCTACCTGGGAAGCTTCCCGGGCCTGGGCGTGCCGTTTTCCACATCGCTGTCGTCACGGGAATGCCCGGGCTGTCCCTGCTGCTCAGGAGCCACCACAGACCTTCTGCAGGGGACCGGGAGATGAGGGCACAACCCCGCATCTGCCAAGCAGGGCAGAGCCCTGCGCACACGCTCACGCACCGGGGCAGCCACAACAGTCAACCTGGAGCTCGACGACTCCAAGCGCAGCACGGAGCGCAGGGCAGGGGACACCACCACCACCCGCAACTTGCAGGGAGCGCGACACCCGGCACAAGAGCCAAGGGCCCGTTACCTGCGCCTCTCCAATATATGACATGCTATCCGTATTGTGCCTTTACTAGCAATCGGAGTACGCGTTGCAACACTGCTGCTTTCCGCCAACAGCAAGTGGCTCTTGCCATGGAAGTCAGGGTTCCACAACCCCATTGACTAACGGGACATTCTACTCTGGTGGTGACCCCACACCCGGAGTTTGGGCTGATTGCAATGACCCCGTGTCCCCCAGACCGGCAGATCCCCGCCAGCAACGGCCCCTGGAGCGCAGGGAGGCCCCGGGGCTGCCTTCGGCTCTGCCTCCCGGGCAGTGCCGGCATACCTGTGTCCTGAGAGAGGCTGGCGCTGTAGCTGTCGCTCTCGGTGACCGTGATGCCGTGCTGCGAGCCCACTGTCCTCCAGTCCGAGGTGAGGGTCCGTGCAGGGGTGGACGCCTGGCACTTGGTGAGGGTCCACTGGCTGGAGTACCGGTTGCGGGTGCTGTGTGCAGACTTCACGCTCTTCCTTGACACAGGGTCTGAGGGACAAAGGGGACAGAGTCGCGGCCGGTCACTCCCAGAGACAGTCAGGGCACTCTCTCATCACCCCGGGGCGCTCCCCGCTCCTTCTGCCTTACCAGCAGCTGCTTTTAGGCACGGCCAGCGCCAGGGGACAGGGCCTGCAGCCCAGCACCCTGCTGTGGGGCAGCAGGAGGCGGGGCAGCAGGAGCACCCCTCTGGAAGGGGACGTGTGGGGACCGGCCACGGTGCCCCTGTGCTGCCAGAGGGCACTCGGGGGGCTGCGGGCAGCGCCCAGCTCGCCCACGCCTGCCTCGCGCCTGTGTCTGCAAGCACGCCGCGCTGCTGCCAGCACACCCACCCCAGCCCCACACAACCACGGCCGCTTACTGGTGCCGGGGCGGATGTCCGACATGTCGATGAGGGGCCCCGTGTTCTGGATCAGAGCGGGGTGATGCAGTGAGACGCCTGTGCAAAAGCTCTGGGGGTTCACCGCCTGACTGAACTCCGTGTCGGTCACCGGGATCGTGGCTTTGTCGTCCCCTGCGGGAAGAAGCTGGAGCTCAGATGTCTTTCTTGAGCCAGGAGTTCACTGTAGGCACCCGCTAGCCCATGCTCAGCACACCCGTGGGAGCCGCTGGCTTCCCCGCTGCAGGGAGCCCCACCAGCACTCCAGGCCACGCAGGGATGGGAGATTCGCCTGGCTGTTCTCCAGCCAGGGCAGCGGTGCGACGGTAACCCCCACCGAGGCAGGGCCCGGCCGAGGAGATTGCCACGGGTGCTGCCGGCACAGCAGGCAGCGACACAAGGGGAGCGGGACCCGCAGGCACGCCCCGGCACCTGCTCTGCCATAGCATAGGAAGGGGACAGCCCGGGGACACCGCAGGCTTCTCAGGGCCGAACGGGATGCTGGCCCCCCGTCCCTTCCCTGGCCGGGTGCTGCTGTGGCCAGGGTTGGTGCCCCCCACGCCGCAGGGAGAGTGCAGCGCTTACCCAGCTGTTTGATGCCTTCCTTGTCCTCGATGAGGAGCTGTACCCGGGGGATGTCGATGTGCAGTCGGGGGCCCTGTGGGGGGCCCTTCACCGGCGTGTCAAAGCTGCGGTTATTCTTGCTGCGAGGTAAGAGGGGACCCAGACCCAGCGATTACCGGAGAGAGCCCCAGCAGCTCCAGCCTAGCCCGCTGGCCAGCCGCTCCCGGGGCTCATCTTCTCCAGCTAAGCAGCTCTCCCCCCAAGGCAAGCTCCGGCACGGGTGCCGGGACCCGCCTGCCTCACCCCCTCCGGCAGGCAGGAGTGGCCGGGAGCACCAGGCTGCTGCGCTACAGCGAGGCCGACACAACCAACCTTCGCCGTTTCAGACCTTCTTGGGCTCAGCCCCGACGCGGGGCTCAGCCCGGGTGCCAAAGCATCCGGGATCGCCCCTGTCACCAGCTTTCCCCACCTTCCCCAGCCACCGCCACCCGCTTGCAGCTCAGAGACCCACCTGATCAGCATTTCTGCCAAACTCTTGGCATCTGTGCGGGAGACAGAAAAAACAAGAAGGAAGGGTTTTCGTTGCTGGACCAGCTCGTTACACCCTAGGCAGCTCCCTTAAAGCACAGCTCTGCGGGGCCCACGTGGCCCCACGCGCTGTGCCTCAGAGGCCCGTCTCACCTCGAAGCCTCTTCAGCCGCTTCTCCTTCCTCTTCTTGCGGATGATGAAGAGCAGGGCCACTCCCAGCGTGGCCAGGATCACAGGGCAGGCGATGGTGAAGAGCTTCTTCACGTCGTCACCCTCCCCTTGGGCAGACTTGATAGGAGGGATGGTGCCTAGGGCAGAGCGCGGGCGGGTGGGCGGTCAGCACTCCCGAGAGCCCCCCGGCTCGCCGGCACAGCCCCCTGACTACTCACTGCCGTCGTAGTCCAGCGTGGCGAACTGCGTGGTCTCGTTGCCGCAGCCGGCGCTGTTGCAGGCCTTCATGCGGAGCTCGTACCAGGTGGCCTCGCGCAGCTCTGTCAGGAAGACCTCGCTGGAGCTGTTGGTGCGGAGGCTCTGCCAGACCCAGTTGCCCTTGGGCCGGTACTCCAGGACGATGGCGTTGATGGGACAGCCCCCGCTGCTCCAGCCCTGCAGGTTCAGCCGGGCGTGCGTGGAGTTGATGTGGGTGAAGAGGTGCTGGTCCTTGCTGAAGGAGGGCTCTGCGGGAGAGAGGCCGTCAGGAGGGCTGCTGCAGAGAGGGGACCGCCGCGTCCCCCAGTGGGGCAGGGACGCCGTGGGGCAGGCTCACCTCTGCCGTGGGTCTTGGCTTCGATGATCTCGCTGATGCGGCCGGCCCCCACGCTGTTCTTGGCCGCCAGCTTCACCTTGTACCAGGTGCCGCACTTGAGGCTCTCCAGCTTGAAGGAGCGCTCGGAGGAGCTGATGAACACGTCCTTCCACTCCTCGCTGTTGTCCACCGAGTACTGGAGCACAAAGCCTGTGGGAGCAGGGACGGGGCGGTCACCTCCGGGCACGCGGGCTGCCGGGGGGGAGGCGAGCAGCACCCGGGCAGGGCGAGAGAAGGGGTTACCGCTGGCACACAGAGCCTGCGGGGCACCCCGCGCCCGCCTCAGGGACATCCCGTGGCCAAGTCCAATGCGGCCTCGCGGCGCCAGGGCGCCCGTTGCACACCGATCCCTGCCCAACTGCGTGCACGTGAACGGTGATGGAAACGCAGCCCTCTATTCCTACGCTGTTGACGTGGGTTGCAGTTACCTCAAAAACATTAGCAGGGGCAAGCTGCTGCCCTCCCGGACCCTGCGCGTGGCCCGAACGGAGGCTGACCCGTCTGCCCGTGCTGCCCACCCCACGGGCCCAGGCAGGAGCCGCAGACAAGAGGTGCACGGGCATCCCCGGCAGCTGGCTGCCTCCCGAGTCCTCTGCCAGAGCCCCCGCGCCGCTCCCCCACGACCCACCCCCCATCTGCTCCCCTGTCCGCACATCGCCTCCCTCCAGCACAGGGGGGGCCGTGCTTGGTTTCGCACGGGAGCGCGGGGAGCGCGAAACGTGACTGATTGGTGCGAGGCTATAAAGGGAAAGCCAGAATTAACTAGCTCCCTTGGGAAGCTGCTAGGAAGTTGCTTCTGTCATTGCATGCCGCCTCCTCTCCCGTGATTAAGAGTATTAGGAAGCACACTGTGTCCTAGATGCACAAACCCATTACGCTGCCGTCAACAAGACGCCTGAAGACGGCTCACCAGGGTTTCCCGGGGACAGGTACGCGCACACGCACAGAGCGTTGGGCGAGGGATACGCCGCCGAGTACACCAGTGCCCCCAGGGTGGCACGTCTCTGCTGCCCTGACCGTTCGGACCTTTTCGGCTATACAAAATCCCAGCCCGCCGTGGTGCATCGAGAGCTTTGGCTACTCTCGCAGGTTATTGTGCAAATCTCAGATAAAAATAACAGGAAAATTAGGCCTTCTGCCTTTGCCTGTGCGTCACAAGCCACATAATGCAGAGCTGGCGAGACCGCTCCGGGTGCCAACGCCGTCCGGGTACGGCTGCGGCGCTGCCCAAGGACCCACGCAAAGGCAGGCGCGTGCCTGGCGTCAGCTCTGCGAACGCCCGGCTCGGGCAGAGCAGCGCCGAGGGAAGGGAGGGCTTCTCGCACCTTCCCAGCACCAAGGCTTCCCTACGGCCAGAGGACAGGGGGACCGGGACCTTCCCGGGGCAGCGCGGGTCTGCCCGCAGGCACACGCTTTCCCGGCCACGTCGAGGCCAGCCCACAGTGCCTGGCGCCCCAGTGCCTGCCACCGGTTATTTCTTTGGAGTAGAAATATTAAACCAACTTTATCAACAAAGATGCTGCATGTACAAAATAATCATAACCGAGTCCGCTGGAGTGCAAGGCTGCTGGCTGGGGAGATTTGCTCGTAATTACTTTCCTGCTTTTAATTAATTGTAAGCGAGGTCTCCTCCCTCACTCCCCACTCCCCGCTCCACGTGCCGCTGTTTCAACATATAATTCACAAGCTGAATCAGGGCAGAAAGGAGGCTCTGGAAAGCAGGGGTGCTCCTGAAGCCCCCAGCCCACCAGGGACGGTGGCTGCTGGGGGACGGGGGACAAATCCTGCCCTGTCAGGTTCAGAGTCGCACCACTGCCAGGAGATACGGAGCAGCCCCTGGGGCTAGCCCTGGCCGCCAGCACCTGAGCAATTACCGACACGCCCTTCGCAAGCTACTTCCATCCCTGCATCTTGTCCAAACCACCTTCCCAGCCCCCCTCATTAGGACGGGCAGCCCTCCCGCAAGCTCAGAAGCATCAACCTTACTCTGCAGCGTTTCCGAGGCATTTCAGAGAGGGGAACGCTACGGCACAGAGACAAAAGCGCATGTGCAGCGCGCAGGGGTGTGCCTGAAAACCTGTGCCACAAGCCTCGTCCCCCAGTGCCAGGACCAGAGGCGCCCACAGCTCGGGGACGGGGATCGGTGCGGTGGGTCTGCTGCGGCCCCCCCGGCCCCGTCACTCGCAGCAGCCGTACCTCGGATGGAGCTGCCCCCGTTGTCCCCAGGAATCCAGGCCAGCGTGATGGACGATGCCGAGGTCTTGGAGACGGTCAGGCGGGGCTGGTCTGGGGGCACTAGGGAGGAGGGAAAAGCCCATGAGCACCTGGCACGCACTGGCTGAAAGAGCCCTGAACCATGCCCCGCAAAAGGTGGAACGCCAACGAGACCTCCTGCTCAGCCCCGGGCCAGCGAGAGCCCCTCAAACAGGAAAGACCCTGCGGTGCTTCACCCCACCGAGAGGAGCGGACAAGCAAGAGTGCAGGCTGGCTGCACCGCCTGCCGAGGCGGAGCGTGCCCGTGCAGGGCACTGGCTCCTGGATGCAGACGTGGGACCGCAGGCCACCCCCCGCCAGCGCCCCTCACCTTGCACCAGCAGGTTGATGATAATGGTGTCGAAGCCCCAGGTGTTGGTGGCGGTGCAGGTGTAGTAGCCGGAGTCCTCCGCTTTCACCGAGCGCAGCACCAGCGTGCCGTTGGCCTGGATCAGGCGATGGCCATCCACCGTCACAGGGATGGCCGAGTCCTCGCTGCCAGGAGAGGAGAGGGCGCATCAGCCACTCGCGACACAGCAAGAGCGACGCAGCCGGCACCGGCCCCCGGCCCAGGCTGCGGCACGGCCAGCAGCCCCCTCGGTACCTGTCCTTGGTCCACTTGATGGCGGGGACTGGCTCCCCAACAGAGTTGCACGGCAGCCTCACGTCCTTCATCCATGGGGTGGTGACGGTGCCTCCGAAGGAGATGATCTTGGCAGGGGCTTGGGGGCAAGGAGGAGGTCAGCTTGGCAAGCAGGCCCCATGCGCGGACCCCCCGACATGTAATGAGAGCTGCGAAAGCCGGCGCGGCCCCCCCGACATGAAACAAGAGCTGCGACCGCCCACCGCCCGTCCCTCCTCTGCCCCGGGCACGGCAC